GCCTTGGCATCCCAAAATGTTGGGATTACAGGCTTGAGCCACCAGGTCTGGCCAAATTTGGCATTTTCAAGACAGACTTGAGACCTCCCAAGTGTGGTGGCTCACGCCTGTAATCCCAGCAATTTGGAAGGCCGAGGCAGCTTGATTGCAGGAATTCGAGACCAGCCTGGGCAACATAGCAAAATCTTGTCTCTACAAAAAAAAAAAAAAAAAAAGATCTCTGTGACCACCAAATTCCCTAGAATCCCACACTCTCTATCTCACTGGTAACTCTTGCAATGAGTTTAAAGTGGACTTTTTACATATATTAATATATGGTATTTTGGGTGTTTCCTTGATTTTTTTCATTCCCTTTGTATCTTTGGCAACTTTTTATCCACTCAATGGATGTTTTCATTCTGTGTCATCCAGTCATTTACACACTTCATGCCACCCGTTTTTTTAAGAGACAAGGTCTGAGTCTCTTTCCCAAGCTGGAGTATAATAGCACAATCATTGCTCACCACAGGCTGGAACTCCTGGGCTCAAGCAATCCTCCTACCTCATCTTCCCAAGTAGCTGGGACCACAGATGGATGAAACCACACCCAGTTAATTTTTTTTTTTTTTTAGCGATGGGGTCTCAGCCAGGTGTGGTGGCTCACATGTGTAATCTCAGCACTTTGGGAGGCTGAGGTGGGTGAATCATCTGAGGTCAGGAGTTCGAGACCAGGCTGACCAACATGGACCCGTCTCTACTAAAAAATGCAAAAATTCGCCGGGCGTGGTGGTGCATGCCTGTAATCCCAGCTACTTGGGAGGCTGAGGCAAGAGAATCGCTTGGACCCAGGAGGCGGAGGTTGCCGTGAGCCAAGATTGCGCCATTGCACTCCAGCCTGGGAAACAAGAATGACACTCTGTCTCAAAAAAAAAAAAAAGAGATGGGGCCTCACTATGTTGTCCAGGCTGGTCTCAAACTTCTGACCTCAAGTGATCCTCCCGCCCTGGCTTCTCAAAGCACCAAAGCACTGGGATTACAGGCATGACACACCGTGCCCAGTCCACACCTCCTTTAGTTGTTGCTCACTCCGTGCTTCAGAAAGGGATGTCCAAGGGTTTCACTATTCCCTGCCCTCATCTTTTTGTTTTGTTTTGTTTAATTTTTTTTTGAGGAGTCTTGCTCTGTCTCCCAGGCTAAAGTGCAGTGTCACGATCTCAGCTCACTGCAACCTCCGCCTCCCCGGTTCTAGTGATCCTCCCACCTCAGCCCCTCAGCCCCTCAGCCACCCAAGTAGGTGCGATTACAGGCGTGTACCACCATGCCTGGTTAATTTTCTGGTTTTAGTAGAAACGGGTTTCACCATGTTGGCTAGGCTGGTCTTGAACTCAAGTGATCCATCCGCCTCGGCCTCCCAAAGTGCTGGGATTACAGGCGTGAGCCACTGTGCCCAGCCTCCCCTGTCCTCTTGATGGACATTTAAGCTATTTCCAATTTCTTGCTGTCACATCACTGCTGCCATAAAGATTGTTATGTACATATGCAAGCATTCTCTTACGCAGGGGTCTTGCTACCTGTTTTGTACAGCACTTAAGCTAAGAAGAGTTTTTTTACATTTTTTAAAGGATTGTAAGTAAAAAGAAAAACCGTCAAGAGTGTGTAAACCAGACCCTATGTCTAGCATATCTAAAAGATTTCCTATTTGAACTTTTACAGAAAAAGTTTGCTGGCTGGGCATGGTGACTGATACCTCCAATCCCATTTGGGAGGCTGAGCCAGGGGTCACTTTAGCCCAGGAGTTTGAGACTAGTCTGGGCAACATAGCGAAACCTTGTCTCTACAAAAATTTAGCCCGGCATGGTGGTGTGCACCTATAGTCCCAGCTACTCAGTGGGCAGAGGTTGGAGGATCGAATGAGCCCTGGAGGTGGAGGCTGCAGTGAGCCCTGGTTATGCTACTGCGCTCTGGCATGGGCGACAAAGAGAGACCCTGTCTCAAACAAACAAACAAGCAAGCAAACAAACAAAAAACCACGTTTGCTGACTGTTGCTGTAGTGTAAGTGGCACCCAGAAATACCACCCCTCCTATTTCACAGATGGGAAAGCTGAGGCCCAGAGAGGAGAAAGCAGTTACCCAAGGTCACACAGAACTGGAGTTCTCATTCAGCTAGATAAGTTTGTTGAGCTGCTGAGCCGGGCCTGGGTGGGGTGAGTGAGGTCTGGAAATTGATTAAGTCAACTGAGTGCAGTGGCTCACGCCTGTAATCCTAGCACTTTGGGAGACTGAGGAAGGTGGATCACCTGAGGTCATAAGTTCGAGACCAGCCTGGCCAACATGGTGAACTCACATCTCTACTAAAAATATAAAAATTATCTGGGCTTGGTGGCCCGTGCCTGTAATCCCAGCTACTTAGGAGGCTGAGGCAGGAGAATTGCTTGAACCCAGGAGAGGGAGGTTGCAGTGAGCCGAGATCGTGCCAGTGCCCTCCAGCCTGGGCGACAGAGGGAGACTATATCTCAAAAAAAAAAAAAAAAGAAATTAAGTATACCCCTTCTCCCAGACAACTCAGCCTCAGGAGACACACTGAGAAACAATGATAACCTCTGAGGATCAGGGTTCAAGATCTCCCAGAGTGGGGTGGAGAAGGGGAGGGGAATTAATGTCAGAGCTTGGCCTGTAAGGAGGAAGTGCTCTCCAGGTAAAGGAGGTCAGGACAACATCCCGACATGGGACTCGGCTTGGAAATACGCTGGAAAAGTGGATTCTCTCACCTAGTCAGCTGGCCCTGAGAATTGTTGGTTTTACACTCAGATCTTGGTGGCTTTCCGGGTTCTGGGGGCTCAGGCAAGAGGGTCATAGGCCAGATTCATTCCCTGTCTCCAGGTCTCAGTTTACCCATGTGTAAACGTGAAACTAACTGATTTCCCAGGGCTCCTCACCCTGGGCCTCACCCGGGCCAGGTGGCGCTCTACCCAAGGGGCGCGACCACATCAGTGACGTCACTCGGGGCGTGGCCGGCAAGACACGCTGCGGAAGCCTCGGAGGGTGTCTGGGCTCAGCCTGGAGCCGGCGTGTGGGGGCGGGGGCTCCGGGGAGGGTCTCCTCACCTCCGGGCCCTCCTGAGGGCTGGGATGATCCTGCTGTCCTCCGCAGGCGAAACTGAGTCAGAGCGGGGCGTACGTGGGTCGGAGGCTTTACATACCCAAGAAGCCGGCGCCTTCTGCCCACCTCGGGCGAATGCCAGGCCCCCAACTCCGGCACTCCTCGCCAGTCCCCACCTCCACCCCCACCCCACCCCCGACCCTGCGGCTGTGAGTCAGCGGCCGACCGCGCCCCCTTGGCCCACTTCCTCCTCACCTTCCCGGGGCGGGCGGGGTGGGGTGAGAGGGGTGGGGCCCTACTCCCCCCACCTCCCCTCCCGCGCGGGTGGGGGACTCGCCCCCTTAGTAACCCCTCCGAAATTGACAGAAGAGAGACGCTGGGGAGGGGCGGGGTTCCGAAGATGGGATTTCAGGGAGAAAATCTGAGACCACTTGCTTAACTAACTGGAGGGTCCTCTTCGACCCCCAAAATTGAGCGGAGTACGAGATGGAGAAGTCGATGGGGAAAGAAATCGTGCCCCTTCCGAGACGCTCCTGAGAATTCCCACAGTGGAAGCGAACTAGGGAGCAAGGGAGGTCGCCTTCCCCTTCACCAAGCTTGCCCCTCCATGTGGTGGTGACTCCCAGGGTGCACCCCTGGACGACAACGTTGGGGAGAGCAGCAAGATCGCGGAAGCAGAGGGTGCCGAGTTGCCCTTTTAAGCGCCCTCCACCCCCTCGCCTGGAGGCGCGCGCGGCCCCTTTAAGGCGCGGGGCATTGTGGGTGCGGGGAGTGGAATTTTGGAACGAAATGTAACGAAGAGAAGTACAGTAGTAAGAGTAACAGTGTAGCCGCCGCCGGCAAGGGGGGCGCGTCGGGGAGCAGACGCCGCATCCCCTTTCTGCCGCAGGGACCTCTCATCAGATCGCCTGAGGGAAGCGGCGCCCGGAGACCCGCCCCGGCCCGGTCCACGTTCTACCCAGGAAGCCGGACTCTATGGGGCGGGACCCTGGGGGAGCCTGAGTCGAGCCCGGAGCCAGCCCCGAACCCCTGAACCTCCAGCCAGGGGCGCCCCGGGAGCAGCCAGTCCGTGGGCGCGCCGCCCGCCCGCAGATCAGCCATGAGGTGAGCCGGACCTGCCCCCCGACCCGTCCCCGCCCGGGCGGGCTCCGCGCCCCGCCTTTGTCCCCCTCCCCCCCAGCTCGCTCCGGGCTGGAATTTGGGGACAGATCCTTGGGAGCCTCGGATTTGGGCTGAATCCCCTAGGACAAGCCCCAAAACCGTCGATCACTTCTCCACGACTGACTTCCCAAGCTCGGGGGGTGGTGGCGGTGAGGTTCCCCTGGGAGCCCTCAAGATTTGGGGACGCTCGGAGGACTCCCGAATTGTTAAGACTTTTTTTCAGAGGACCTCAAAGTTGGCAGCGACTCCCCGCAGGGATGCCAGGATTGAGGCAGGGCTCAGACTTTCCTCCCCCTCCCCCCAAACTTCAGCTCGAGGTCGGGGAAGGATTGTGGGGGACTGGTTTGGGAGACCCTGGGACTTGGAAGAGAGACTGAGACTCAGACCCTTGGTGTGCAGGGACCTCGTTTACGTGGTGCTGGAAAAAGTCTCCCCAAGTGAGACCGCGCTCCTGAACTTCGGGGGTACTTCTTAATCCCCTAAATTTTGGGGGGCACTTAGGTCTTCCTGTGGAAGAGGCTGGTGTGAACCGATCCAGGGACCCGGACGCAGCCTCCGGAGTCTGGTGGGACTCCCCTCCCCCGTCGCTCCGCACGCAATCTGCTTAACAGGCAGTGCCTAGGACAGAGCGGGCGCTCGGAGCAGAGGGCGGCTCCCTGCCCCGGGCCATAAGGGCGGCCCGGCTCCCCCACCTGCGCGGCCCTGGGGAGGGAGGGGACGCAGCAGCTGGGGGAAGGGGGCCTTTGTCTTCCTGACTCACCTGTCGAGACAGCTGGTGTGGGGGGCGGGCACCGAGCGCTGTGGGCCGGCTGTCTTCCCCACCACGGCGCCTCCCCCTTTGCTCGCCGCCCCCCCCATCCATCCGGAGCCTTGGGGTTGGAGGAGGGGGAGCTGGAAAGCTTCAAGGTCATAGCCCTCTTCCCTAGGGACCCAGGCTTCCCAGATAATTCCAGCTATCTTCCCAGGAATTTAATCCTGGGGGCGGCGGCCCAAGGGACCCAGGGATTTGGTCTGGCCGGGGCCTCCCCCGAACTCCTGGACTCACCTGAGGGCGGGGCCAGTGTGGGCAGGGGGACCCAACCATCCTCCCATTCTCCCCTCCCCTGGCCCCCCATAATCTCTCCCATGGGGCCAGAGCCTGACAATACTATCTCCCTTCCTCCACTCTCTCTGGGACTTCCTGCCCCAAAGCCCCCAGCCTTAGCAGGGAGGCCCCTGGGGACGGCTGGGGATTAACCCCGTGGTGGCCACATCCCCTGCATTTCCTGAACCCCTGCCCTTTGACATCGGAGTGGAGTGGCGTTCCTTTTTATGACCACTAGAGAATTCCCCTCCCGCGTTTGTTCCTTCTGATGTGAAAGGCATGGCTGGAAAATTTGGAGCAAGGAGGACACCCACAGATACCCTCAAGACTTCCTGCCTATCCTATCCGCTCCCCATTATAGCAACATCCCTTCCAAGTCCGCCCTGGAGAGGGGTCAGTTTAGGGAGCGTCGCTCTCTTCCTTCGCCCTCTTCCTCCGGGACTCTTCTCTCCCCTTGCCCCCCAGCCCCGCCCCTCCACCCCCCTCGCGTTTCCGGTCCCAGGCTCAGTGGAAGGCGGATGGCGGATGTCCGAGTTAGTGCTGCCTCACTCACTGCAACCGTAAAAGGGCAGGAGTGGTGTCTGGGCCGGCCCCCTGCCCTCCCCACCACCACCACCACCACCACCACCAGCCCTGGAAGCCCTGGCCCTCCCACAGGGCCCACCTCTTGCTGGGGCGGTGATCAAGCATCCCGCCTTGTGGGGGTGCTGGGGTGGGGTGCAGTGCAGAAGTGACCAGATGCCTGTCCCACCAGAAGGCCACTCCCACCTTTCCAGGGGTCTCCCCTGCAGGTGGTCACACCCGACTTACTGGGCTGTGCCTCTTCTCCAAGGACAGCCAGGATTCAAAACCCATGCCCCTATTACCCAGCTGGGGAAACTGAGGCTCAAAGAGAAAAAGACATGGCCAAGATCCCTCAGAAATTCCTAGGCAATGTTGGAGGGGTGGAGGAACCTAGGATCCTCTGATTTCTGGCTGGTTTGGCTGGGGGACAGTCCTGGGGGCAGTTGGAAGAGAGGATGTTAAGATGGAAAATTACAAGATATAGTTCTTTTTCTCCCAATTTGACAAATATTTGTTGAGTGTCGGCTGTGTCCTGGACTGGAGCCGGGGTGCTGGGAAGACAGAGAAGCGAGGCAGAGGTCTAGAATCTCAGGGCAGAAGGGACTTGGGGAGAATTGGGGTCTATTTCTTTCTTCCAATAATAGCTATTTTTATTTTTTTTTAAATAAGAGACCATTTGATCAAGCATCTATTTTATGTGGGGCATTTTTGTGCCTGACAGCAATTCTGGGTTTTTTTTTTTTTTTGCTCTTGTTGCCCAGGCTGGAGTGAAACGGCGCGATCTTGGCTCACTGCAACCTCCGCCTCCTGGGTTGAAGCAATTCTCCTGCCTCAACCTTCCGAGTAGCTGGGACTACAGGTGCCTGCCACTATGTCCGGCTAATTTTTGTATTTTTAGTAGAGATGGGGTTTCACCATAATGGCCAGGCTGGTCTCTAACTCTTGACTTCAGGTGATCCACCCGCCTCACCCTCCTAAAGTGCTATGATTACAAACATCAGCCACCACACCTGACCCCTCATAGCAATTCTAACAATGATACTATTACAGCCTTGTGGCCTCCCCACCCCGGGGACTCAGTTATATAGAGGGGAAACTGAGGCACAGGAAAAGCTTAGGCAAGGTGCGCCACGGATTTAATATGTAGAGAGACAGAGGGGGGGCGTGGCAGGGTGGCCGCACGCCGGTGGCTTGGGCGAATCCCCGCACCGGAGGCGGGCGTCAGGGCCGCCGGCCGAGCGGGCCGGGCGGCGGCGCCGGGCCGGCGCGGCGGCCCAGGGCGCCATCCACCAGGTCTGAAGATGGAGGGGGACCATCGCTGGGGCAACATGGTCGAAACCCAGGGTCTCTTACGAAGAAATAGGGGGGCCCGAAGCGAGAGGATCTCAGCGCTGCCGGCCGCTGGCGGCGGCGCGGTGAGTGGGCGGCCTGTAGTCCCAACTACTCGGACTGTAGCCAGGCTGAGCAGAAGAGAACAATGGCGTGAAAAACCTAGGGGGAAGTGGAGCTTGCAGTGAGCCAAGATCGCAGCCACTGCACTCCAGCCTGGTGACAGAGCGGAGATCCCGGTCTTCCAAAAAAGAGAAAAAAAAGGTTCAAAACAGGACCAACTCGCGGGCCAGGGCTCCATGCCTATGGTATTCCTGAACATGTTGGGAGCCAAGCAGAGGATCGTTGAGTCCAGAGTTTGGAGAACAGCGCTGGGCAAAGCTATGGATGTGACCGTCTCTATAAATATTGTACAAAATAGCTGGGTGTGGTGGCGCATGGCGCCCGTACGTTCCAGCACTCTGGAGCTGAGTGAGAGGATCTCTTTGGATGAGCACGAGCGCGATATGAGTTCATATTCTTGGCCAGCTGCACTCCAGCGCTGGGGTGACAAAGTAAGACCCTGTCTCAAAAAAAAAAAAAAAAAAACAGATAAGACATGCCTTCTGTGTTCTCAGGTGAAGAAAAAGAAAAAAAAAGGGAACTTGCTTTCACTGGGAAAACACTTGAAGATAATTAGATGGAAACCAAGAGAAACGGAAGCTGCAACCATGTGATCTTATGGAACTCGGGCATGAGGCCCAGCAGCGAGAAGGGGGACGGTAGAGTAGCCCACACAGGCCCCCAGAGAGTCGAGACCTGGTTCCTCTTACTTAGGAAGTGGTAAGAAGAGGGGTCGTGTCCGTGAAAGAAAAGTAGAGTGGGGTAGTATGATCCCAGGCCTTGCTATGGTAGGTAAGGCGAGGGTATGGGGTACGAGTCTTGGGTTGGTGGCAGGAGCCGGCGCAAGAGGGTCAAGACTGTGCGTCTGGAAGTTTGTTTGAAAAAACCGCGAGTCACCGTGACTTGCGATTACCTCCCGGTGGACCGCGTTGGATGTACCTCCGGTGATGGAAGCTGTCTTTTCATGTGAGCGTGGACCAAAGTGTGACAGGTCCTGCGTTCTTAGCGGTTTTTGGGTCACAGAGCATAGCCTGTGTATCCTTACATGCAAGGGCCGCCACCAGGGGGTGAGGCTGTTATTGTTTCCAGGGCTGGGAAACTGAGTTTCAAAGAGGCAAAGCCACACAAACAAAGAGGCGCTTGGAACGGTCTTTCTTTTCTTTTTCTTTTTTTTTTTTTTTTTTTTTTTTTTTCTGAGAGCGGAGTCTCGTCTGTCGGCCACGGGCTGGAGTTGCAAGTTGCCGGTGATCTCAGCTCACGCGAGCTCCGCCGCCCTCGGGCCGCGACTCCGGGCCTTAGGCGCTCCCAATTAGCTGGACTACAGCCCCGCCACCCGCCCGGCTAGGTTTTTGTGTAGTTTTAGTGTAGAGACGGGTGTTGACGGGGTTACCAGCTGGGCTTGATCTCCTGACCTCGTGATCCGCCCGTCTCGGCCTCCCAAAGTGCTGGGATTACAGGCTTGAGCCACCGCACCCGGCCTTGAACGGTCTTTTCATCTGCCATGTGCTAGAGTTTTCCAAAATGTGGGGACTTGCAGGGAGGAGAGAGTCCTGGGCTGACTGGAAAATTAAGGCGCTCTCATGTCCAATGGAGGGTTCTAGACTTCAGGAGAACACTGGAAACAGGCAGACCTCATTTCCATCTCACAGCCCCGGCACTCCTGTTTTATGGTTATGGGATTTTCTGTTCCTGCTTTTGTGTAGTTTACAGTTTTATTTATTGAACTTAAGTAGTGAATTAGGTTTTTATAGGTAATTTCAACCCATGATAAGAAAAGAAATAATAAGCAGTTTGAAATACTTATTGAAATTATTGAAATGGTGGCTGGGCCAGGTGGCTCATGCCTGTAATCTCAGCACTTTGGGAGTTCAAGGCAGGCAGATCACCTGAGGTCAGGAGTTTGAGATCAGCCTAGCCAATGTGGCAAACGCCCAAACCCCTTCTCTACTAAAAATACAAACATTAGCCTGATGTGGTGGCACACGCTTATAATCCCAGATACTCAGGAGGCTGAGGCAGGAGAATCGCTTGAACCCGGAAAGTGGAGGCTGGGAGGCTGAGGCACGAGAATTGCTTGAACCTGGGAGGTGGAGGCTGCAGTAAACAGATTACGCCACTGCCAGCCTGGGCGCAGAGTGAGACTCTGTCTCAAAAGATAAATGGTGCAAAATATTTGTTTTCTCCCTCCCCAGTCCCTGAGTTCCCCTCAATGGAGGCAGCCACAGTTAGTGTCTTGGGAAACAGTCTCTGCATATATCACCACTCTGGGTACAGATGTATTTATATGTTCCTCACTGTTGGTTTTTTTTTTTTGTTTTTTTTTGGTTTTTTTTTGAGATGGAGTCTTGCTCTGACTGTCGCCCAGGCTGGAGTGCAGTGGCGCGATCTCAGCTCGCTGCAACTTCCACCTCCCAGGTTCAAGCGATTTTCCTGCCTCAGCCTCCTGAGTAGCTGGGATTACAGGCACGCGCCACCATGCCCAGCTAATTTTTGTATTTTTAGTAGAGATGGGGTTTCACCATGTTATTCAGGCTGGTCTCAAACTCCTGAGCTCAAGACATCTGCCCGCTTCAGCCACCCAAAGTGCTGGGATTACAGCGTGAGCCACTGCGCCTGGCCTACCTTTCTTTTGAGACGGAGTCTTGCTCTGTCTCTGTCACCCAGACTGGAGTGCAGTGGTGCAATCTCAGCTCACTGCAAGCTCTGCCTCCCGGGTTCACGCCATTCTCCTGCCTCAGCCTCTGAAGTTGCTGGGACTACTACAGGCGCCTGCAACCACGCCTGGCTAATTTTTTTTTGTATTTTTTTAGTAGAGATGGGATTTCACCATGTTAGCCAGATGGTCTCGATCTCCTGACCTCGTGATCCACCCACCTCGGCCTCCCAAAGTGCTAGGATACAGGCGTAAGCCTAGGATAGGATACAGGCGTAAGCCTGTTTTTTGTTGTGTTTTTTGTTTGTTTGTTTGTTTTTGAGACAGAGTCTGGCTCTGTCCCCCAGGCTAGGGTGCAGTGGTGCAATCTTGGCTCACTGCAACATTTGCCTCCTGGGATCACATGATCCTCCTGCCCGAGCCTCCCAAGTAGCTGGGATTACAGGCCTCCGCCACCAAGCCTGGCTAATTTTTTCTATTTTTGGTAGAGACAGTGTTTCACTATGTTGCTCAGACTGGTCTCAAACTCCTGACCTTGTGATCCGCCCGCCTCAGCCGCCCAAAGTGCTGGGATTACAGGCATGAGCCACTGCGCCCGACCCTTTTTTTTTCTTTTTCTTTTTTTTTTTTAAGCCTCTGATCAACACTACCTTGTATTTTGGCTTTTAAAAATTTCAATTTAGCTCTGCTTCTTCATCTTTAAATGAAGATAAGAACTTGTGGGAACTTGGTTTCAACTAGGAGCCCCTCTGCTTACTTGCTGTGTGATCTGGGGCAAGTGCCTTCACTCCTCTGTGCCTGCAATTCCCTCTTGTCAAA